AAAAAAAAATTTTAATTTTTATTGCAAGTAACAGAGAAGATTCTTCAGGACAGATCAAATAAGCCAAAACTGCTTACTAGACAAAAAATATGAAAATAAGTCGAGAAAAAATGACTCTGTTTAGAGCCAAATCAACAAAACAAACTTATCGTTTTGAATTCAAAATCGTCTGCAACCATTAAAATTTGGCTCTCACTAAGAGTCTAAAAAATGTTGACTCAAGAACATAAATGAATGGTTTTACGTAAAAAAATAAAGCCAACACTGAACATGAGCCATTTACTGAAGTATTCGAATGCGGTTTCTATCAACGGCAGCAAATTCCGGTACTGGAATATCCATGTTTCTTCAGGTTTCAAAATGATCAACCTTTTTTTAATAGTCAAAAATCAGACCACCTTGTGGTTTGAAACTGAGACTAAAAGAAGAGGAAAAAAAAGGAATAATTGTTAGAGCAAACAAATTTAAAACCAGAACATAAATGAAACAACAATTACGATCAATTTTTTTTTTAATTTTATCTTCAAACTACTGACCATCATTAAACCTTACAATGTTACATTGGATCAGTGAATTAATCAAGTTTAAGTATGTGTTCCACTGGCAGATCACCTTTATATTTTATTAACAGAGTTTCAGTAAAGAAACATAAAATGACACTTTTTTCTGCACTCAAATTTTTTATTTTTTATTCCATTGCTTTTCTTTTTTTTTTTTTTATCTTTTCGTTCTATTTCTTGTACAACAAATTTTCAATGAAATGTTTTAGAAAATTAAAAATTTTGATAAAAAAAATCTTTTTTTTTTCTTTTTTAACTGTTTTATTGCTTTTCAGTTAATTTTTTTATTTCTTAACATTTATTCTTTGCATATTTAACATCGTTGAACTGAAGTAATTGCAAAGAAACAGCTTTAATTTTGGTTCATATGAATTGCAGCCAATTATAAGCAAAATGGCATTTGACCTAAAAATAGATTTATACTGCTTGCAGCAGCTACTGCTATTACTGCTGCTGCAGCGGCAGCAGTAACAATATGCTTTTATTCCTATTCCTTAATTTTTTCTATTTTTTATCTTATATTTTTTTTTTTGCCCCCTTAATTCCATCTTTTTCCATCACTTAAAGTAATTTGTTAAATGGAATCAAAAACTGAAGAAGTGTATTATCAAATAACCACCCGAAGATTTCCGAGGCCTAATAGATTGTGCTGTTGAAATTATCTTTAAAAACCAAACAAAAGCAGAGCATATGAAGCAAAGCCAAAAAAAAGGAAAAAAAAATAGAAGTAAACGAAGAAAAAGAAACGACGCAGTATTTTAGTTCGAACCGATGAACTCAATCGGTTACGTTCCCAATATGTCCAATCTTCGGTTTAGCATTGAACGAATTTTGGGAAAGCCAAACGATAATATTAATATGGCTTCCGTTTCTGGGCCGTTTATACCGTTCAATATCACGTCATCTTCAAACTACTGTCTACTATTTGACCAGTTACGACAGATTCAACAATCCAGCTGTGGTACAACGGTTTTTGTGCCGAACCATCCGAAAACTGTTGTAAAAACTCGTGCAGGCGAAAATCCGAAAGAAATTCCACGACGGATTGGGCATCCGTATCAGAGTCGTGCACCGCCGAAGCATAAAAATTTACGAACTTCGTTTTCTAAACAACAGGTATCGCCGTCATCAACTTTTATTCAGTTATTCTTCAAAGTTGATATACTTATTATCTGTCAAGAAATTTTTTATTTCCAAACTTTTTTCAAACAAGAAATTAGGTCTTTTTTTTGCTAAAGACTTTACTTAAACAGTCAATAAACAGTGAAGGAAGAGAGGAGAACGGAAAAAAAACCAAAATTAAATATGGGTTTTAGATTTCTCTCTGCAAACTTTATCAATGTTTACAAATGTTTCTGAATATACTCGAGCACAGTGTTGAATATCATTTTTTTCAGTTTAGCAGGCTTTTTTAAAGATCTTTCTTTGTTCTATTAGATTGCGCTACTAGAAGCCAGATTTGATGAGCAAAAGTATTTGGGTTCTAAAGAACGTTCATTGTTAGCATCGGAACTTCAGATGAGCGATTGCCAGGTGAAAACGTGGTTTCAAAATCGGCGGACAAAATGGCGGTATGTATTTAGAAAAATTTTTAACAGAAAAAAATTATATATATTTTTTAACTTATTTCACAAATCAGTATGTACTGTTAAATTTGCTGCTACATCAATTTTTTTTTTTTTTTTTGCAAAAGATAGCATAAAAGTAACTTTTATGTTGGTCTATTATCGTTTCGTGCTGTTTATCTAGTAAGACAAAGTTTAGTGTAGAATTTAATTGCATAACACCATTTTAAATGTATTAATTGTTAATTAAATTTAAAACGGCGTTCATTTACTGAAGAAATGTGAAGAAAATTAAAATTTGTTTTATTTACCACTTTTCCTTTTACTTGTTTCCAAAAATAGCGTATATATTTGGCAATAAATAAACGATCAAGTTAAGTGGGCAAATAGTGGCACCAGAAGACAGATGAATAAAATGTCTGACAAACGAAAAGTGTGTTGAACAGATACCGTGTTAGCGAAGCAGTTTTTTGCAATGTACAGCTTTGGTATCGGCCACTTAGGTGATATAAGTGTTTCTTGTTTGCAACTTTGAATGTATCAGTTTACATTTTTGAAAACAATGCAGTTGAAAATTTTTATTTAGTTGTCAAAGTTTCAACTTTTTTTTTTTGGTCAGATTAAAGCAAATTCGTTTTGCTAACAAAAAAAGCTATGACAGTACTAAAGTTCAGTGGTTCAACAGTGTAACAGTTAGCAGTAGAATACAAAAAATTTTTGAACCAGGAAAATTGATCAGTATAAACTGTAGCGAAAATTGTAAATAATTCTGTCGTCAATAGGTAGAAGTAGCATGGAAAAGTATCAGTAATGAAAGTGGCAGATGCTTTTTTCTATTTTTTTTTTGAACTTTAGTCGTATCAATAGGTGATCTTCGATGTGTAAGTTTATGTGAAGATAATATGACAGGTGAGCAGCAACTGTCTGTAGTGTTGCTGTACATTGTTAATTATCGAAATTATAGCTATTTTTTTTCTTTCTTTTTTCGCTATTATTAACATTACTTGACCTGTATTGGTGCTGCTGCAATTTGTTGGCAGAAATGAGAAAAAAAAGTGTATTTGTTCTGCAAAATATTGCAAAAAAACCAATTTGCTGTTTTGTAAATACTCAGTGTAGCAGTTTTTTTTCGTTGTTGTTGTCGTTAAAACTTTAACAGTTTTAAAAGCGACAAAAGTGTTGTGTGTCAATTTAATGTTTTTAAATTAAACTGAACAATTTTAGCCTAAATATTCAAAATGACTTAAATTTATTTGAGTCTATATTTATTCACCTATATAATTTTAATTTGTATTATTTAAAATGTAAATGAAAAAAAAAATAACAAAAAGCACTATTTACAGTCGACAAGCAGCTGAAGAAAAAGAATTTGTGGAGAAAGCAAATGCTCGCCTTCTGTATTCACAGTGTTTCTATTTGAGTCCAAATTGTTCAGTGGATAATGACAACTGTTAATGTGTGGAAACAAAATATGATTACAGATTGTCTGTTGGTTTCATTGTTAATTTATGCAACTATAAACAGTGATAATTTTTTTTATTTTGTTGTTGTTTGATAAATTTTTATTGTTTTTTCTTTTTTCTTCTGTATTCATATCTGTATTCTTTATGTGTATCGATATGGGTGGATGTATGTGTGTAAATGTGTGAATGGTACATAAAATTTTGTAAACTTTAATAAAAGCTATTGAAACAACAGTACAACGAAGGTTTCTTTAACAGCTACTTTTTTTTTTTTTTTTTTTACACAACTTTAGTATTAATATAGGATAATATCTGTTGTCATTTTCTTAAAAAAAAAAAAAAAAACATTACACGAAAATGACGTAATTTTTTGCTTGAAATTTATTAAAATCACTACTTTTACAACAAATAATATACTTATAGTTAAATTTGTTACACAAAGAACAGCACAATTTTTTTTTTTGATGTTGTTGTTGTGAATACTTAAAATTGAATTTTACACATAAATCGTCGTTCACCGTTTGTTTTCTTATCGTAAACTACCGAACCCAAATACTCCAGCACCAAATATCTGCAAAAGAGAAGAAAAAAAAAAACAAAAACAAAAGCAAAAAAGTGAAACAGTTAATAGTTTTTGTATTTTTTTTTTCTTTTTTACTAAACATTTTAGAAGTTTAAACGGTCTGAAAGTTGCAACCAACGATATACGGTAAATTATGGCACAATATTACTCATTTTTACTGATTCTTTATAATCAAAAAACCTTTTTTTTTTTCTTTTTTTATAACTATTAAGATGCAGATATAACTGTTGAAACTTGATAAAAAAAGAAAAACGAGGTTTTATAATTTAAATACTGTTCACTTTCTTAGATATCAGTTTACGAGAAAACGTTTTAGGAATGGAATTAAATTTAGTCTATACATTTCTTAAACTTTTTAGACACTTTTCTACCTCTTTTTTTCTTTTCCTCTAATCGTATTCTTTGAAACTGCAAAGCTGTGACGTACAAACCAAGACTAAACCTTGAAAATAGTTTTAAAAAACAATTGCCGTAATCATAAGAAATTCTAAAAAAGTTGTAAAAAATAGCTTAGCAATTTTTAGCCTAAAACTTTTGGTGTTGCAGCAGTTATCTGTAACTTTCAAATAGTCACTAATTAAACACAAGTAATATTACAATTCTCTTTGCTATCTAATAAAAAGACTTTAAAAAATTTAAAAAAAAATTATTTGTTTTTGTAAATATGTTTAGTGACAGCAAAGGAGGGCTTAATTTAGTTGCTCGTATTGAGCTTTCTGTATGTCTTTATTTTTTAGTTTATCCTGCTGTACTTTCTCGTAAAAAAAGCTTATCTGACTAAATTTGTGCACGGAAAACGCATTATTTAACAGTTCGTTCGTACACTGTATTTAAAAGAACTATTTCGTTTGTTAAAAGTTTTAAAAAACCAAATTACTGCTATAAAGCATAAAATAAAAATTAATCAGTGAAAATACAGTAAACTGTTCAAACTATAAGTTCTGAACAGTTAAAACATTCTCAGTTACACCTTACGCAGCACTTGGTCTTCATCTACAAATATGCATCTGGAACATAGTTATACCTGATTCTGAAACGCCAACTGTGTAGACAGTTGTAACGTACGATCTTGATCAATCCGTTTACACTTGTAACGTCGATTTTGGAACCATATTTTTATCTGCGTTGGTGTAAGACCGAGAGTTTCAGCAAGTCTATCACGTTCTGTTGCATTCACGTATCGTTGTCGTTTGAAACGTTCTTCCAGTTCCA